GAGAAGAAAGGAATACAGAAAATAGTGAATAGAAGTTGGGACAGGGGCTCAGTAGGAAGCAGGGGGAGCAGGTGTGCCCTGTAGGAACTGTTGGGGCAGGCAGCTGGCCCAGGAAGTGGAGTCGGCCTGGGGATGGTCAAAGAATCTGACATAGAAGCAGAACCAAGGTTGGTACAGAGCACAAAAAGTGAGCTGATCCCAGGACCAGCCTCATGAGCATGGTGTCCGTGCAATCGCCCAGGGCGCTGTACTTAGAAGGGCTCCTTGCTTGGTTTAATTAGCTGCTGTCTTAAAATGATTAATAATTTCTGAACTAGGGGCCCCACAGTTTCATTTTGCACTGGACTCTGAAAATTATGTAGCCAGTCCTATGTGATACAGTGTGCATTTGGTAGTGCCCAAAGATATCTCAGGGGGACAGTGACAAGGGGTAGGCATGATGTCTTAGAGGGAAAACTGTCTATCTAGACCAACAATGGTTAAAACCCATGTCCTCTGGGTTTCATCTCTCCTGTAGAATTCAATACTTTTAAGAGCTGGGCCTACTCCTGAATCATCTCCATAATTTCCACAGTATACATCCTGATGCTTGCTGCAAGATACAATGAATACATTGATTAACTGATCAAAGAACCAAATGGAAATTATTTTATTAATATTATTATTGTCATTAGAGTTATAAAGCATCGTTATTGCTTATGAGACCTACATTACGGGGTTGTGATGAATATTAAAGGAGAGGATGTAAAGCAAAGGCCGTTTCTGGGTTCCAAGTAATATAAACATTTTCTTCTATTTCACGCTAATTATCATTTTGGAGACAATTGGACAGGTATTGTTTCTCATTCTATAAATGAGGAGCTGAGTCTGGAGGCACTAAATAATTTGCTCAGAATCAACAACTAGTGAAGGACATAGCTGGGCTTTTTCTGAGACCACACCTCTATCCTCTTTTCATTTTTAAAGGCTTGGAACCCCTTCTTTGCATTAAATTGTCACCCAAATCCAACACGTAAAATAAATCAAGAAGCTATTTCCCCGCTTCCTCCCAACGCTGTCATTTGTCTGCAGGGCTCTGAGGAGCACAGTTTGCAAACCTTTGCTTTCTGCAGGAAGGTGTCCCGGGAAGCTGAGTCCTCTACTCTGCCACCCTCACTCATCCCAGCCTCTGAGGGCAGATATCAATCATATCTGGCAAGAGGTTGAAACAGGAGGCCCTTAAGGGCCTCTGATTCTGGTCCCCATCACTTCAGAGCTTAAGACAACACACAAAGGTCACATTGGGGACTGTGGAAATGCAAGGCTGAGATCCCAGCCAATGTGGGTGATGCTGTCTATGGCTCTGGAAAGCCTCTGATACTACTTTGCGTTGGTACCACTTGTGCCTCTTGACTTTCTGGTGAGCTGTGATTCGTTCTGTTTCTAAGTCAAATGGAGAACCTGGAGAATTATTGCCTGGTAAGCAATCAGAAAAGAGACCAGGGTTCATAAATAGCTTAGTGCTTCCAAAGGTGGTGGAAAAAAATATCCCAGCCGGGCAAATAGCTCAAGGTCAGGATGTGGGCGTCTAGCATTTCTCGCTGCAGGGTTGGAGGCCTCTAGAGTCGGGAAGGTTTTTCATGCTCAGCGGTGGCTTTAGTGACGGCAATGCTGTGAAAGCTCAGACCTTGACCGAAGCTTTATAAAAAGCAAATTTCTTGGCTTCTGAAACTACATCCGCTTGGGAAACCTAATTAGGCATAGGCAAAAGCATCCCCTGAGATCAGCGACCTTCTGCCTGAACACAAAGGGGAGAGAGTTTTGGGGAGAACCTGATATATGACCTCTGAATTTTGCTGACTTTCACCTAGAGCCTTGTACGGAGCACTGGGAAGATGTGAGGCCTGCTTGAGGAGTCCACATGAGCAGGTCATAAGGGGACTGTGTTTTAGGGGGCTTGTTAAGAAGAGGAGGCAACCCTTGCCCCATCTTAGTTCTCTGTAGCCTGTGCTGGGGACATAAAAGAACCTAATGGTTCTTGAGGCTCCACATAGGGGAGGATGGAGTTGGAGTGAAGAGTCACAGGTGGCCCTAGTGGGCTCCAGGCTGAGAGGGGGTCACTCAACCAAGGAGGTAATTGAAATATGAGGATCCAGCAAAAGTGCTGTTTCTCTAGAGGTCCTCAGTAAAGAGGGTGCCCCAGGGAAAGCCAGACCCTACCTGTAGACAATCATGTGTACCCTGTAAATGGAAACCACCAGAGAGCAGAGGCCCCCAGCCTCAGATGGAAATTGCCTGAGCAGGGCTGGGACTAGAGCAAGGCAGGGGAGGTGCCTAGGGAATGTACAAATTCAAGGAGGCCTTCCCTCTCAGGGTGGGCAGGTGCAGGATTGGAGCCTCCCTTGCATCACCCTGGTCCTGACTCTGTGAGCCAGAGTGGACCAGAGCGTTCTCTCTCTCCTCCCCTCTTTCCTGCTCCAACAGGGCTGGAGCCTCAGGGAGGGAGAATGGGCCTTGAAAAGAGATTCATTTCCCTCCTCCCTCCTCCTGGAGTCAGAGTTCTAGTCTGTGTAGACTAAAGTGTTAAATTGGATATAGGGTGAAGGCTTGAACTGTCTTGGACTATATTTACATAACTGAAAGAGTCTGAATAATTGTGGAATTGGGCTAAGATGTCATCAAAGGAGCCACTATCAAATAAAGAATGGGGGCATTGATATCACACAATTGAAATGATGACATTTAAAAAAGACAAGTTTATATAACAAGTTATTGAGACTCTTCACGAAAGTGGTTGCATAAGCCAGTGCCTCTGAAGAGGGAAGAAAAGGAAGGCAGAGTGGAAAAGGGGATGGGGAGGGAGATTCGAGTTATCCATTCCTTAAAATCAGTGGTCCTGTGGAGGGATTGGATGCCCAACAGCCCAGGTTTGAATCCTGGTTCCATCACCTATAGCTGTGGGATTCAGCAAAGAACTCAAGTCCTTGTCTCATGACTTGTGAACAGGAATAAGAATACCAACCCTTACTCCACAGTACTGTCATGAGGATAAGATGACAGGATAAATAAAACCCCTAGAATTGTGCTTAGCATCTAGAAGAGTCAATCAATGTGAGCTGTTTCCTTTGGCCTCACCTCTGTTTCCCGGAAGGGATGGAACTTCCACAGTGTAGATGGACGAGTGTGTGTGGGTGTCGGGGGCGTGTGTGCTTGAGAGCAAACCAAAGGAGAGGAAATTTGGGGAAATGCAGGACTGGGTGAGGAAGAGCTCTAAAGATAGAAACAACAGCAACATGCTGCCTGTGTGTGTAGGAATATAATCTAAGTTTATAAATTTGAACTGAGTGCTTAAGTTTAAGTGTCACTGAAACTGTGGCCGTCCCCTGAAACCTTACAGAGGTTATGTTGGGCACAAAAAAGGATGTGTTACTCTCTTCAGTGGTAGTAAATCTGTGGACCTAAAGATGGTGTATAGATAAAACAAATAAGTAGTTTTTAAGATGGTTGGACATAACTATGGAGGTTAGAAATGGAACTAGTTCTTATGGAAGTTTCTGATGCATAGAGTAGAAATCATATCTTTGGAAGTTGATTTTATGAAAATCAACCTTATTCTCCTACCATGTTGCTGTCAGGGAGCCTGTCAGGGTCAAATTTCTGGGCCTAGTGTCCTAAGGGAATGGCCCCTTGTGGTATTTTTGAAAGTGTTCATGTGTCTAACAAAATTCTCGGTTTTCTTTGTGCTTTTCCAGATTTCTGGAGGAAAATACCTCCTGCATTTAAACAATTGCATTTGCTTTTTACAGGTAAAGGGAAAATAATTAAAAGAAACTAGCCAGAGGCATTATAATAATAATGAAAATAGAAGGAGGAATGATCACAAAAAGGGTGACGTATAAAATGAATCACATTTTTACTTGATGTCATGTTATGAAAAGATAAATCATTTTGTTTACATTAATAGAGAAATTAATTTCTTTATCTTGAACTTTGGATTTGGAATTATCCCATCTTTTCCTAGCCCAGCATCTTTTTTGGGGGAAGGGTAGTTACTATTTTGGTCTTTCTTGGAAATCTAATACTTTTCTTATTATCATGATAATGATATTTATGCTGTGGTATCAGCTGATGTTTTTTTCCAGTGGAGAATTCATTTTAAAGTTCTTTGTTCAGACATTTTAAATCCAGCCATAAATATTTCTTTGAAACTGGACATAGAAGGTTTGAATTTTAGTCCTTTGGGAAAACAAGGGTTGAAATTGTTTACAGTCAATTGGAACACTGAAATAAGAGTCCATTAAAAATATATTTGAAGAAAAATTTTAATATTTTTATCAAGTAAGGTTTGTTGATCATTTTTTAAACTTAGGAAATATAAGATAGACATATTGCTTCAGATTTAGTTGGAAAGTGGGTCATACCTGTTTTATCCTGTGTACAATTCCCCATATTCCATTGAAATTAATAATATGGTTTAATCTAAGGATTTCCTAAATTACCAACAGTTTACCTGTATTATGATGAGAGAAGTTGTGTATGTTTTATGTAGGTATATATGCACAATGAATTAACACCAAACTCAAAATCAAATGAGAGAAACAGGGCATCTAATGAATGCCTGAGTGACATTGAGACCACCTTCCACAGTATTTCTTTCCTAGAACGTGATTGGCAGTGGGACCTCTTGGCTTAGTACACAAACAGAGGAGATAGGAAGAGCAGTGCTGGCATTTTACACAGTTTGTCTTCCATTATTGTATTTAATTTTTAAAAGGACATGGGAATCCCTTGGGAATTCTATCACTGCCTGAAATTCTGCTACCAATTCCACCTTTTCTTTTAAGTTGATATAGTGATAAAATTTAATATGCCTTAAAATAAAGCAATATTGAAAACTCACAAGGACAAACATCCCTTGATAAATGGAAGAGCTACATTCTTGAAAGAGAATGTCAATACGTTTAACTCTTTAAAAACTTCATTATTGCAGTAACAAGATATAATTCTCTGTAATACAATACCAGAGATCGGGGATGGAGGGCACCTCCTAGGGTTAATAGGTTTCTGCGTAGGGGAGACGGCCTGGTCGTTGGGGTAGAAGCAGCAAACTGGTAACTGGTATAGATGGGAGCTGTTGGGGAGAAGACTCTTCTAATATGTGCCTCAGTCTTCACAGTTTGGAGCCAGCGTGGTCTTCCACATTCCTCCTACCCGGCAAACATCTTTCTCCAATTCATACGTCAGTTCACACTTTGTGGCTCCAATGTTGTATACTCTCTGGGAAAAGAGTAACATAGAAAGAAATGTGTGCAAACATTTATTCGTCTACAGGGCTCAGGCTAGTTAAGGGGGGAAATACCTCACACACCAAGTGGATGTTTTTCCAACTGCCGTTGAAAACTTAATTCCAGAGCAGATCAAAACACAGCAGGGTTCCTAACATGGATCCCTCAGCCTTTTTCACCCCCTTCTTAGTAACTTTCTCCCTAACAGACCCAAAGGCATTTCTTTTAACTTTTATAAGTTGAACTGAAAAACTCCTGCACTCTTCAAATTCTGATTCCCTCTTTTTCAAGTGAATCCCAACACTGAGTATCAACTGTCAAAAAGTCGATGGGCATAAACACATAGGTTGCATGCTAGTGTTTAAGCATCACACTTGTAAGCGAGAACAAGCCTTCTGTGGACTCCATGTCTTAAGTTAGGCACCGGCATCTTGACTGTGGCTTTTGTTCTTTTAGGTTTTGGTTTGATAAAATTTACTAAGAAATAAACTATTAAAACATCTGGCTAGATCAACAAGAAAGTATATAGATGAAATATAGAAGACATTTTAGTCCTATTACAACTGTCCTATTGTTTCAACCACTTGGATGTGAGATGCTCTTGGGTTTTACAATTAATCAATGAAGGCAGGCAGGTTAGCGGGCTTAGCTGTTTGTGGCATGATAATTAGAGGTGTTGTAGAAGCTCTTCTGGCCTACAGGAGGCCAGTTTCCCACAGCCTACACTTCTTTGGTGTAATTGTCTTTATTTTGTAGACTGTAGTCTTCTCTTCAGTGCAGACCCAGTAACCTTTTTGGCCAGAACTCACTGGATGAGTCTTTCAAGCTCAGTGTACTTCAGGGGAGGGATTTCTTCCTAACAGGGTAGTTTAAATCCTGTTCTGATGACTGGGCTCTGATCTTTTTGAAACGCTCATGGCAGTGAACTCCTCAGGAACCAAATGCCCTGGGTGGTCTGAAAGTGTGTTTTACTTATATAAAGAAAAAAATAGTCCTCCATTCACTCTTAATGGCAAGTATATTAATTTTCAAGACATTCTATCAAAACCTCATGCTAATTATCCTTTTAATAAATTAAAATTACTATTTGTTCCTTTTTGTCTTGTGGAAATCTACAAAAGATTGTCTCTTTTGTGCACTTTTAATTGGGCACTGACTGGAGACTAAGCTGTAACTCTAGCAGATGCTCGGCTATCAATGGTCAAACAGATTTGTGCTTTGAAACCTCTATCAGAATCCGTGCCTGCAGGAATGACCTTTTGAAGGGCTAGTAATAATCTAAAGTATTGTAAAGCATAGCTGTGTTTTAGCTACTATTCTTTTAAATTTCTCTTTGATGATGATTTACTTCTCACCCTAATAAATAGGATTCACAATTCATATTAGCATAGTTTAGGCTCCTAAAAGTCCTGCAGCAAAGAAATCCAGTAAATTCTATCATTCCAGTGCTTGCCAATGTTATTGACTATGGAAGACTTTCAGTTCATTTGGCTCATATTTAGATTTCAAGGAAATGGATGTTCCACAAAACTCAGTGTGGGAAATACCAATCTATAGTGATTACTAATTAAAAAAAAAGGTGTGTCTGATGCCTTCCATCTAAATGGCATGATATCAGTTTTAGCGCAAGTTGACATCTTAATAAACAGTATAGGACAGCTGCACTATAATCCTCAATGGCATCTTCTAAGTCTGTGAAATTTGGCTCCTATAAAAAAACACAAGAGAGGCGCTGGCCTGGTGGTGTAGCAGTTAAGTTTGCGCCCCTCTTTGGTAGCCCGGGGTTCACTGGTTCAGATCCTGGGCACAAACTTATGCATCACTCATCAAGCCATGCTGTGGCAGGTGTCCCACATATAAAATAGAGGAAGATGGGCACAGATGTTAGCTCAGGGCCAATCTTCCTCAGCAAAAAGTGGAAGAGTGACGGCAGATGTTAGTTCAGGGCTGATCTTCCTCAACAAAACAAAACAAAACAAAAAACACAAAAGAAATTCTTTTCAAACAAAATATACTTATAGGTATTCTGTTTTATGGTTTTGATATAGTGAGCACTTACATAATTACACTGTATTTATTTTTAAAATGCATGGATAGTTGTGTGCTAGGTAAATCTAATCACTAAATATATATCAATTACTTAATTCTCATAACAACACTATGAGGTAGATATTATCCCATTTTAGAGATGAGGAATTAAGACATAGAGAGGTTAAGTATCTTGCCCAAGTAAACACAGTAGATGATAAAGCTGGATTTTGACCCCATGCGTCTGAAGAACAGATAGTCAATGTCCTTCCCCACTAAACTGGTGCTAGCGCTTTTGGCCTTTTCCCCAAGTTAATAAAGTTTCCACATAGCTTTCCTCTTTCCCACACCCGCATTAATCTGGGTCTCCAAAATTGGGAGAAGCAAGTCAGCAGTCTTCCAGAATAAGAGGAAGGAAGTCAGTGAGTGGAACTCAGCACAACCCTCACATCTCTCATCTTGATGGGAGTGAATTCCATTGTGATGGTAACTTTTAGCAATTTTTCCTTTCTTATTCCACTTTTTCCTGGAGCTTAAATGAGGATCATGTTCAGCTTCTTTATAGCCAATTAGCCAGAGAAGAAGGGAGACCCAGTGTTTGGGAATAAAACTCATTGAGTCAAGGTCTAGTTCTTGATTTGTCACCATTAAGTGGATAACCTAAGACAAGCTACTTATCCTCTCTGAGCCTCAGCTCCATCCTCCGTAAAATGAACTAATTGAGCTAAGGGACTTTCAAGACCCTGCCCAACCCTATAATTATATTCATGCATTTATTTTTAAATGTCTTTTTTTTATTAAAAATGATAAGAACTAGAAGATTGGCATCTCTGAGCAATGTAGTTTTTCCTATGAGTTTGTGCTTATATGCCTTGAAGTGGATGGAAGAATTCCATTATTAAGGAAATGCCCTGAGTGGTGAGACTGTGATAAGGTGACTCTGAAGGTCCTCGCTCTCTGCTTTCTTACAAGTAAATTTCTCCACAGCTTTGTGTCTATTCAAGATAAATACAAATCTAGGATCATTCAAGATAAATGCCAATGTAGGATCTCGCCAAGTTGTAAGCCCATGAACAGAGGGCTGTTTTATTCATCAATATATTGCCGATAGTACTTAGCACAGTGAGCTGCACATAGTAGGAATACAACAACAATGGTTAAATTAAATCAAACTCAACTTGGGAGGTTTGCTTGAGTAAGCATTTAGTCAGTTGGCAATATTTATTGGAAATCCAACAGTGTGGGCAGCAATAAGCAACCTGAGAGGTGATATAAAAGAAAGAGTCCTGACTCTTGACATACTTTAGAGTCTGGTGGTCAATTTAGTGAAAAGAATATTTATATCTGGTACAATATTTCCTGAACATGTGGTTTGTTCTCATCTTCTCATTAAAAAAACTCAGAAAAAAGAAATAAAAATCTTAGTAAGATTGTCACAGGCTAAAGCAAAGAGTGCATATCCAAATATAAGATTAGAATGTCAGGGTGGAGCATTTAAATGTGCCCATGTGATCAAGGGCTCAAGACTCATGCTTCAGTATATGATAATAGTGACAGGATCAAGTCCCAGAATATTCCTTCTCTTCAATATGAACAACCCCAAATAGTCTACTTCCTCCAATATCAGACATAGCTGAGACTGAGGGGGGCATGACCTGTTAGTAGGCTCTCATGGTAACTGATGAAAAAAATATGACACTATCCATACAGGCATGAAACCTTCGCATCCTGGGCATATTCCAACAGAAAATTTAGCTTAGTCAAACCTCTGAAAATAAAAAGTGAGATTAGATAATTTTGAAAATAGTGGAAGTATCTCATTCAAATGAAAAGGAATTGACTGTAAATCTACATTTTCTTGGTGAAAATTGGAGTTTATTAGTGTAATTCATCAAATTAGGAAGCAAAGTTGATTAGAGTTATTTGACTGAGGTTGCATTGATTAAAGACTTGGAAAAAGCTATAAATCTAATCAAGAAAAACATCCTTCCACTTGGGAAACGTACTGGGTTGACATTTAGAAGACGGTTTCTTTTTATAGCAGCTTTTATTTAATATCCAGAATTATGAAAATTTACCAATCCTTGACTTAGCATAACTCTTGAAAAATCTATCTTAACAGAGTCTAAAGAAAATTTCTAGTAGTTTCCTAGGAAAATAAAAATAGCAAGATCTTCTTCCTTTTAGTTGGAGTGAAAATAGAACGATCATCTTGGGCCCTTCCTCCAGTTAGATGCTTAATCTGAATTATTCAGGCAAGAATCATCCCACTGTGAGCTCAGTAATTCTGTGGTCCCCCATCCTTTCAGCACCTCCCCATGTGCACATGGCTTGGGTAAGTATTTAAACTCTTTTATTCATTTCTGTGTGTGAAGATATAGCCTTTATGGATGAAGGGCAACGAAGCATTTGTTTTTAGAAAATAAAATGCTGACCTTTCACTCAAAACATTTTCCCCTAGAGAGCCTCTACAGATCAAACATATTCTTTTTCACAATTGAACCAATCCTTGCAAAAGCTGTGACCACAGTTTTTGATTTATTTTGGCCTATGATGAAAGGCAAGCACTTTCAAAACGATTCCACCAATGGCTCCCACTAGGGAGAGCACCCTAGGTGGAAATTCGGAAAACATTTTGAAGGATAGAAAGGTGCAAATATGTTCATTAAAATGTAGTTTCTGTTGGGATTCTACCATTTGAAATTTTTTTCCAATGTCCTGTAGGATTTTAAAATATTTACAGGCATTATGTGCCTAGCCATACGATGTAGTCTGTTACTTTCCAGAACTTTGAGATCTGCTTAGAGCTATATCTTTTTTCAGGCTGGAAATTATTCTCACTAAGGCAGAGACTTCGTCCTGACCAACACCCATATTGCGTCATATGCTGTCAGTAATTCTGTCCAAATACATCCTGTGTATGACCACTTCTGCTTTCAACTTAGTCCAAGATAATCTCTTCTC